CCTTCAACCCAACATTTAGATATATCGACGACGTATTATCTATTAACAATAAATACTTTCATTCATATGTCGACTCGATATATCCCAATGAACTTGATAGAAATCACACCACAGAGTCTGCCATATCTTTTCATGTTTGGAAGTTTAAATGACTATAGACAATAAAGGCAGAGTAACAACTAAATTCCATGACAAAGGAGATAACTTTAATTTTCCAGCATCAACTTTCCTTATTTATGTAGCAATAGACTTTATTTATGAAGTTATAGTCCACTTTCACATGTATTTGGTGTTTACATCTCTCAACTTATTCGATACTCACGAGCATGCTCCGAGTTTGATCAATTTTAAAACTTGGACAGGCTACTGAGAGATAAGTTAATGTTACAAGCATTTAAACAACTTCGTTTGAAGTCAGCATTTTGTAAAATTTATGTTTGTTATAATATTCTTGTCAGCAAATATAACATGTCATTCTTTCTTATGTTGGTTGACGCGTTTCATACCAATTGTTAGGCCTTTGTTTTTATACTACGGAATGTTCTGTCTAACTGATCTATACACAGAGTTCCCGGAGGGTGTGACCGGTCAACAGGGGATGCTACCTCCTCCGAGGCGTCTGATGTCACCTCTGGAATTTCCAGGGTTTTACAGATGTTTGAGATCGAATACTGTTAGTTATCTTCATCCCTCTCTCTATAAGAGATGCTCAGTTTGGATTTATGAAATTTGGGACTTTATTTTAGAAAATTGTCTATCTAATATTAATGCTATCTATTTAATGATTATCATGAATTTAAGTAACAGGTTGATTTTTTTCCCTAAATCTATTTGTTTTTAAAACAACAATGCTAGATGAATGAGATTTATACGTATGTAAAAAGGAATACTATTAAAGCTGAAGATATCGAACAGCGATCAATCTCATGATTATATAAGAATACAAATAGTTAACATGGCAAAAAAAACCACGGTATACCCTGGGAAATCTAGGGTAAAATAACGTGCTTAGAAGTAGAAAAACATCCCGTTTCGACCAAGCCCTATGTATTCTTCAGGTAAACAGCGTAATCCGTTGTCAAATAAAGTATAAAATGTCAGACAAAACACGAGCCGACTAAATATTTTGTAAACAAAACTATTCTATCGACCATATAATTTGCAAGTGCCTACACTAAACAAAATTTTTTGGTAATATTTATTTGTCTTTAGCCTGCCTAGAATTATAAGTTATATATCCTATACACTTGTAATCAAGCTTGATCATATAATTACCTCATGTCATGGGGACCTAAACATTGTGCCGATGATAAAGTCGGGTTTTTTTGAGCACGAAATAGTTGCAGTAAACTGTTGTTTGGATAATGAATTCATATATGAAGATTTAATCCTTAGCGCCAATATGGTGGTCTTTGATACAGTCTCTTCAGGAGACAAATATTCCCGCTCTTCAACCACAATTCACTTCAAGTAATAATGTCTGAGTCTATTTATAAAGTAGGACTAAACTGTCCACTGTCTTGCCCCTAAACAATGGAAATGTTTGGTAAATATCTTCATAATTGTCGATTGTTGCGATGCTACACTATAACTATTGGGTTTAATGTATGATAAACAAAACAAAAAATATTTTTCTTTGGTCAGACTCTATAAACCACAATTATCTATAAACTTCCCACACACATCTGACAAAAAGACAAAATATAGAAAAATAGATTTTGCTTCTCGGACATTATACAACTGTATATAGAGAATAATACATACCCTTTTCTATATCACATTCTGCATCAGCCTGAGACAGTAATATCAACCAGACGTAGGAATGTGGTGTGGAAAAGGCTATGATTTTTATGTTTATTTCCTTTATATTAATAAAATACAGTACACATCAGCGTGAGAAAATACGAATAAATAATCATGCACTGGCTACTGACATGGGATACTTGTCGATATACACAAACGTGCATGATTTTAGGAATTCATTTACAGTTGTAGAAAATTTTTAATGTAAGCAGTGTGATTTTGATTATTTAATTTTGTTATGATACCTGAAAACAAAAGAACCGTCAAAGTTCATAGTGACATTTTTTGTGAAAACGACGCCTTTTTGATAGCACAAACCTTTTCTAAAACGCTTGTGCATGGACTCTTTGAAATTATTATATGGGAAATAATCGGTGTGTCATTCAGAATACCGTCGTGCAATGATCAGATATGTGTGTACTTATCAGAGATCCAAGTCTCCTCCTTCGTCTAATGAAGTCTTATCCACTGATGTTCCGATTCTTTGGTAGAAAAAAAAATGAAGCCTTTACATAAATTTGGTGATTCTCCATTGATGAGAACATCCCAACAAACAGTTACAGTGTATGATAGACCGATATATCGATGATGTAACGTATTCATTATAAATAACTGTCCCACCTGCCGGTTTACGCAGAAACAACACTCCCCTTCGTTACGACAGAGAGCAGGAAGGGATATATTCTCCATAATCTCGAAACTTGCTTATTAAAACAAATGATTAAATCTTTTATTTTAGGAATATTTCTTGTAGGAAGCCCGTTGAGGCCATTGCAGCGAAAGAAATATTCTTTATTGTGTTTAAAGGCAATCAATTTTGCAATAATTACAAAACTGAGTTTAATCGCAATCATTCTTGCGTATTAACGCAATAAAAATATATCTTTCTCCGAACTGTTCTAAACAGACTTCGTTATTATTGTGGATTATGATTTTTTTTTTTTTTTAAATTCTGATGCATGGATAAAATATCTTAGTAGAAAATCATTCAAATTATAAAAAGAATCCATATATGTTATAATGATAAATTTATCATATACCCCTTTACAACTAGCAAAATGTAATAAAAGGAAACTTTCTGAATCAATTACATAACTTTTATACATTAAACAAACCATTTTGTCAAGGACCTTTTTGAAGCGCGAGAATAAAAACGTCAGTCATATGTATACTACGTCATTAATTTCAGAGAGGGGTGATATAGACCCAGAAAACCACAGTGTGATGATCCGGAACGTAGGATCACACCGTCACGTGATTGCAATAATTCAACAGTAAAACTGAGTGACAAACAGTTGGGTATATAATAAAAAAAAAATGTCTTCTACACATATCAAGGATAAAGCACTCATGTTCCCGTAAGGATATAATCCTCTATAAAAATATTTATCATTTTAAAATGATTCAAAAAATGTCCATAGATATATTTTTTTTATTTAATAAAACTATTTCAAAGTGCAATGCTCCTCAAAATTAATTTAAAATAATTAAATGAATAAATTAATAATGAATGCTATGAAGGAAAAGAAATTAATGAGAGAAAGGGAAAAAAATCCGAGTTACACAGCCAAAAGAGTTTCGGCTATAAAGGTAAGCCACGGTTTTGGTGTTCTGGATCTCAAAATTAAAAGGACATTTCTAAGTACAGGTATATATTAATTATACATTAAATTACTGAAGAGTTTTTTTTTAATTCTCGTTATTTTTTCAAAGGGTACTGAAATTATAGTTCTTCATTTTGTAGTATGAATTCCACGACCTAAACTTGTTTTAAACATTGCCTTTAGACACATTTTTGCGCCTGCGTGAACGGACCGGCAGGTTTTTTTCCTGTGCAGCACTTGGTTTATTTATACTTTTTAAATTAAAATTTAGAGGTCTGTTTGTGCAGGGCCAGCGTATAATCATCAGGTTTGATGGAACGCTGTACTATGTAGATGTAGATGTAGATATTTACAGAAAGTGCGTCTTTATTTGTAAAATTAGAAATTCTGTGGAAAAGATTAAGTTGTGATAATTCTACATATAGAAAATAAATATATTAGGACCTTCAAAATTAAATATTCATATGTGTTTGTTACGCACTTAAACATATTGATACTAATCTCTCAGTATCTAAAGTTATTTTGATATTTACGGGCAGGTTAGCTACTTCCTGACCCTAAATCAACTACTGTCATCAAGAGGTATATCAATAAGGTTTTATTGATTTTATAAAAATCGCCATCCAGACTATATGCACCTTATCTCCAAACATTGATTAAATGCCACATTAAAAAAACATTTTCTAAAGGAACGGGAAGATAAAACACGCGGCGTTTATTTGATGACATTGAAGCATACTGCTTATTGCTTTTCAACTGATTATATTTGTGAAGTCTTTCAGCCTTTCATGTTTTGGAAAATCTCTCTCTCTCTCTCTCTCTCTCTCTCTCTCTCTCTCTCTCTCTCTCGAACCTTGTTCTTCAAACATAGTGCATTGTCTCTGTAAAATAAATTGCCAATTATATCAAATGTACATGTGTACAGAAAAAGCAAAAAGCTGTTTTATGTCGAAAATTGATTCTTTTCAAAATAATAAATATATTCAATGTGTTTTAAACATTTGGACTGTCCTTAGTTGATTTCTAAGGTTCTGCATTTATTTCTACATATTCGGTTTTATGAGATTAACTTCGCTCGAAGTTGTTCTACAGAGTAAAAAAAGTTGTCGTATTCCCTTTTTCAAGCAAATTATTAAAAAAATATCTTTATCTAAGTCCACCTATAAATTATATATTTACATAGACTTACATAGCTTTTGTTATGTGCCCTATAACTTGCTTATCAAACATTCATGTCATACTTTCAACCAGGAAGATAAATGACGCCAAATATCTAAAATATACAGATATGTGGTCGGATGCAATTCTACTGATTTTCCTGATACACTCTGTATCAAAGATCTCGAGTTTTGGTAAGTCTCTCACTCTCTATCATCTCTTATAAAATCGTAGAAAGGTTGTCAGTATTTGTAAACTATGAGCACTAAATCTTTGATACTCGTCGTCATTAATACTGAATGGTAGATTATTGGTTATAAGTGATTTAAGATGAAATATTTGCACAACAAATTTAAGAAACTTTTAGAAAATTTGGAATAAAAAAATTTAACCAAAATCAATAACATCAAAATGTAAACCTTTTTTACAGTTAATATGGCACATACACCTAATCAGAATCTACAGGGAATTGCCTCTTGGAATGTGGCTCCTCATGAGAGCAGCTGGACTGCTGACAAAGCGGTAGATGGTAATACGAATCAAACGTATCTTCCTACATGTGCCATTGCTGCCTTCAATATAAATGTTTATAAATCAGTTTGGTGGAAAGTGTGGTTAACCAGGAAATTCAATATAGCATATTTAGAAATCTATCTACGATCCGGAAGTAAGTATTACTGTGTTTGTACGTATAAAGCTGTTGCTACCCTTTCCTTCTAATATAAGAAAATACTATTCATTACTTATAAAGTAGAGTTGAAGAAAACAAAATCATACTAAACGAATAGATAAGACATTCATTATGTGATAAAGTCGTTGAAATACTTTTTCAAGGATCTTACACTAGCAGCATTGTAGTATACAACAACAATTTTCTTTTAAGCTTGATGTCTTAACTATATTTGTGATATTCTTTGCATTACAATTAAGTGCACTATACAGATATTGGTAGAATGTATTCTTCATTAAGATTGGCGTTTCAATGTAGAACTTTTATAGTGATTGGCAAAGATGATATTGATATAAACTTTTTATTTAGGACGAATACATTTTATACGTAGACCTGTCACCTAAGGTGGAAATCAATTGGTCTTAGCAAATATACCCTCTGTATTAAAGTGGCATATACATTTAAATATTGCAAGGACATCTAGATACACGAATAATATTAGTTACAAACAATGCAATTTGTTATCCTGATCCATCAATAGGGATATTAAAAATAAAATGATTTTCGAATGAATCCTACATGTTTCTCACCTGATTTTTACACGTTTCTCATAAGGTTCTTACACAAAAATCGCACGTTTATCAAACGTTTGTTACACGTTTTTTTAGAAACACTTTGGTGCTTGCATGAAACACTGCACTGTTTTCATGGAACGCTACACGGTTTGCATGAAATGAAAAGCGCACGAAAATCAAACGATGTTTTTTGGGGTGTAGCACGTTTCAGGGTCTTTATTTCTTACAACTTTTCTCCAAGTCTCGTTCCTTTGCTTTCTACTTGTCAAATGAGATCTGTTTATATTCATGTCTATTGACAATTATAAAGATTTAGGAACCCGAGTCGGTGAAAAAAAATTACCTTGAAATAGTTATGGAACCTATGCTTCAACGTTAACTTACTAATATCGCATGTTTCCTTTAGGAAACTTTAAAAAAATGGAATGACAAAATTTTACCAAAATCAATAACATCAAAATGTAAATCTTTCAAGACTTTATTCAATTATTCTTCATGAAAAAAATAAAGTCCAGGCTCTTTGACATCATGTCAGATGCTTTTTTTCAATACATATGGAACTCGTAAATTTGTTTACCTTGACATTGATCATTTACAAAATTATTTTGTTAAAAAACATCGTGGTTGTACACACAAGTACAATGCACTTCGAAGTTGATTAGAAAAAGGTGCTTGAGTTTCTGATTGGCAATGTCTATTTAGTTTTGGAGATCAAGTCTTCCAACAATCTGTCGGAATACCCATGGGTACTATATGTAATTGCGCCCCGTTACTTGCATACTTTTTTGTATTCATATGATGCAGAATTTATTCAGAAACATCTACATGAAAAGAAAAAGTCTCTTGCTGTGGTATTTATTCAACCATTAGATATATCGACGACTTTTAATCAATTAACATAATCATTTTCATTCTTACGTTGATTCGATATATTACGAAGTAAAAGAGATCAGATTCTGACACATCTGTTTCATATCTGGATATTTCACTAGAAAAAGACTTTAATGGTAACCTAACAACAGAACTTTATGATAAACGCGATAACTTCAACTTTTCTTTAACCAACTCGATTTATTTATGTACATTGTACTAATATACTATTATCACCTGCATTGAGTTTATGTCTCCCAGTTGATTCCAAGAGCATGCTCTATGTACGTACATTCTCTAAAACGAGGCAAACTATTGACAAATAAGTTAATGAAACAAAAATATCAACAGTCTCATTTATAGAGAACATTTCGCAAATTATATGGTCGATACAATGACCTTGTCAGCAAATACAATCTGTCATTAGGCCATTTTTTCCCGTTTGCCCGCTCATGACAAGGAGCATACGGCGGGTGAGACCGGTCGTCAGAGGATGCTTACTCCTCCTTGGCACCTGACCCCACCTCTTATAACTTTAGAGGTACGTATTTACTCTGCACAAAATTTGTATTGTTTCGATGGACTTAAGAGATTGATTACTGTTCGTTTTCTTCATATTTCATTCCTTTCATTTCCACAGTGATTTACAATTATGATTTGAATTTCAGTTATTCATATAAAGAATTGCGTATTCAGGCTTTGATTCATACTGGAGTTCCTCATGTAAGATAATCAATCCAAGGCATCTAAAAAAAGAGAATAATTTTTATGCCCTTAGGTATATTTTTATATTTTGCTTTACAACTAGTGTAAGAGAACACATTAAAGTTGTAGCTATTGCATATAAGAGTAAAAGAGGTTATCTAGTATCAACTACGAATGTTTCGTCACATTTCAACGGTATGTGTTTTCATCAATTTATTGCAAGTGTCCAATATATTTATTATCTACAATTACAACCCAAACTATTCGACCTTGGACAAAAAGTCGACAATTAATAAAAAAAGAAGCAATATTTCTAAATTGTGTCATTTTTGTTACGTTAAATTTCACGTGAAAAGCTTAAATTTCGTGTTCTAAATGTGGATTTAGGATTTTTTGCTCTACCTGCCATCATTATGATAGAAGTAATGTTTTTATTCTGCGAATGATCATGCACATTGCTTTTGGATATCAACTCATACACAACATACCATAGGCACTAATTTCCGGGAAATGAACGTAATTACTGATAATATGATAAATTCACAAAACACTTCTGATAGATAGCCGAAGTACCGGTGTCTTTTTCTTTTTTTTTTACAAAGGAGGAAGACATGAATCTTATTTATTTTATTCATGATGGGAAAATGCTGACAAATTACACGTATACATGAAGTTCATTTTATTTAAATTGCAAAAGTCCTATTTTTCATTAAGAAATAACTACTTAATTCTATTTACCTATAAGCTACAATATATGCACATGATGAGAATTTTTCAACTTTTCCCACGTCCACATTTCCCCTTATCCACATATATTCTAAAGAGCTAGGTTCACTTTATGCATAAAATGGCCCTGTAAATATACCAATTTATTGACTAACGCCCTGTGTACCATTTTCAACATTAATATAAAGTAGAGACTTAGTGCTTTCAGTTATATAAAAGAATTGCCATGGAAGAGTCAAGGCATTAAAAAACAGGTTGTGTGAAATTGCAATGTTATTGAATTCTGCAGAAAACAGGTGTCTTTGATAACCTTTAGCAAAGAATTAAAATATGAGCACACCCCTCGATCCAAAAATTAAAATATGTTTTATAATCTTCATTAAAATTTCTTTTAAAATATATTTATACATTTTGGATCGGAGGTTGTGCTGTATATGAAATATTGAAAAATGGCATCATCTTTTGGCAATTTTTGTAAAAATATTCAGGATATGTGAATAATGACGCAATTCGTGACGTCATAATGCATTAACTAGAAAGAAAATTACGTCATTTTCAATAGATAATTATTCATTCACCAGGTGTTCAAGTATTACTTATTGCTTTGTCGACTAAAACTATGCAGTTTTGATTTTTCAGAAATTGACAGGGCCAAAAAAGGCCCTAAGTGGCTCTTGCTCTTTAACTTATAATTGCTCTAGACTTTGGGCAAATAGTGCAAAGTAAAAAAAAAATCTATTTCATCTACAAAAGAAAGTTGCTTCTTGACAACTGTTGTCACACATTTTTGTTGTGACACTCCTCATCTGAAGTTTTCTGTTTTTTTGTTGGTTCATTCAGTATCTGTGATGTAGGATTGCAGACCCTTTTCTCAAGAAGCCTCGACAGAAAAAGGCGAAAATTAAAGATTGAGAACTGAGTTATCCAACTTTTGTCCTTTAGGTATTGTTTTATTGTGGATTTGTACGTTGATAATGAAAAAAAGATAATGAATATCACATTTCAAAGAGCAATATACACTGAAAATGCTGATAATTTCAACATTAACTTTTGAAAACATCTATCTGACACTGTTCTGTGGAGTTTACTAAACTATGTAAAGGCTTCAATGTAGCGGGTTTATCCATGTGGCAACTATTATTTAAAAAATATTAAGAAAACAAAGCGTTTCCACTTTTATCTACAATTATTTGTACATCGCATTCTTAATCTGGCTCTAAATTAAGCATTCGTCACTCCACTCCACTGCATATTCCATATTCCACATTTCACTAAACAATGGCATTTTACCATGATACTCCATACTCTATACACCGTACACACACAACAATGGTAAAAACATTAAGTTACATACACACCAAGCTTCCTACAAGTTATGACTTACAAAGCCCACCATGCAAATAATTAGACAATAATGTGGTAAACATAGCAGCGCTGAATTAAAGAACTTTTATTTAGTGCTTTCACTATAATTAAATAATTTTTCTCGTAACCTTAACTTACACAGGTAAAACATTACTCACATAGTTACTTTACCGTTTAGAATTATAATGAAACTAAAAATGAAATACTAAAGCCAGATACTTTCACCTAATGCATACTACTCACTATAATGTTTATAAAAAATACAAACAAGGCGAACGAAAGTTACAAAAATTTAAATACATTGAAATAATTATGTTATCCCAGAATCGTAAATTAACAAGAAAGAGAGGGGAATGTAAATGAAATATTTTACTCGCCTCAGAAGTCAGTGTTTGCAAAAACTAATCGCATAACTTTAAAGTACTTCAAACTTAACAATCCTTACGAGTTAGAATTTACTTGTCATTAAGAGCTCCTGCATATAGAAAGCTGGTTCGAAGAAGGGCGAAAGGCTTAACTCCGGTGAATAAATACAGGTAGTGGAGGGGTACCATGAAGGGTATTCGAATGGGAGGTCCAGTAAAGGATAATTGTTTAAGAAATAATCAACGTTATTCAGTGAACATGGCGTTATGAATAGCAACTGCTCTGCAGGCTTATTCGATGATGTCAAGAATGTCAGAGGAAATTCTGGCCTGCATAAGGGCACGGGTGCTTGTCTCCAGTGAAAAATTTTTGATTTTTGTTTGTATGTTGTTTAACGTCCCTCTCGAGAATTTTTCACTCATATGGAGACGCCACCACTTGCCGGTGGAGAGCTGCAAATTTTGTCCTATACTCGGCACTTACGGCCATTGAGAAGTGAGGGATCTTTTTCGTGCCAGCACCTACTGCGACACGGGACCTCGGTTTATACGGTCTCATCCGAAGGACGGTCTCCACGTCCCACAGTGGGATTCGAACCCGCGACGTAAGGATCAACTCCTTACTTGGCGACTCTAGAGCAGACGCTCTATCCACTGCGCCACGCGGACGACCTCCAATGAAGAAAAATATGACAATAAAATTAGTAAACCTGATTAAAAATACTTTATCCACTTTATCTCCAATAAATCACATACAATATATATCATTCTATTTGCTTATTAACCACAGTTATCTGGATACAAACCGCGCCGTCCTCAAATTCTTAATCTTTTTGTTTTGATGCTGTTGTAAAGCTCCTTGACGTCATTGTCATCGAAACTTTCTGAGAAAAATTATAAATAACGATAATATGAAAAAAGAATGTTTCTTTTTACTGATTTTAACTTTAGAATGTTTTTCTTATGTTTTTTAAGATCTTAAAATTCTTTATAAGAGTTAAAACGTTCTTGAAATTGATACACTATTACAGAAATTTCGCTTTGTCTAAACGTAAAAAAAAAAAAAAAAAAAAAAAAAAAAAAAAAAAAAAGCGTGAAGAGTTATCGTTCTTTGTAACAATATGCGTAAAAATAAACAAATAAATTAAAGATATACAGCTCTGTTTAATTTGTAGAAAGTTTTATTTTACAATTAATCACGTTGACTAATTTTTTTTAAATGAAAAACACCCCAATAAGTACACTTAATCATTTTAAATTTCTTTTTTTTCCCCGGAGGATTCCATTAAAAACTAAATTTATTGCCTTTTACACAACCTTCCATATATGTACTTCTGAATGTGTTGTATTAGCGGAGTAGCTTGTACTGCGTAAGTGTAAGAAACGAAATGCACTTATAGCAGATGAAGTTGCATTCATGGTGCTATGAACTCAGCTGGTGAGTGCAGGTTCATATTGGGAGAAAACAGAGAGTTCGAAATGTAATATTATGGAAGAAAACCCCCCCAAAATAAATCTTAAGTACTTTACAAGCAAATAAATAATATAACACCGTAAATATGAAATTCTCTATATCAGGAAAGTCTTCGGTTCTTAAAGTCCTGAATCTTCCTGGATTACCGTGCTATTTATCGCATATTGCCTGTCTCTGCTCTTCAAACCTTGTTCTCACCTTCTGAAAAACATCCTAAAAGCTTCTTTTCTTTTCAAATATTTTTGTTTGATGTTTGGCGTTTTGTATTGCTAAAACAGCTTTACAGTTCAGTATTATATTGATGTTATATTCATTTTGTAAAATATTCAAATTACGACATAGGCGTTTATGTTACAATAAAGCATTATAATACCATGGTTTTTTAAACGTTTTTACATGGAATAAATATGCAAATTTGATGTTTTAAATGATATTTACTTGTGTGAGAAAAATGGTAGTTGAGAAATATATTTAGGTATAAAAATATAACACATATCCTGAAACACCCTGTACGATATAATACATGTAATCATAGTGCTGTCTTTTTAAGCGACAAGTCGGGCGACTGGATTCTCATTGTATACCTACGAGGACGTATCCTATAATCCTCCCTTTGGAGACACGGGGAGTCTTGTTTACCGTCACGATCCTATGTCAGGATGTCCAGTGTCTATTTATAACATAACTGTGAATAAATTAGCTCAGGGAATAGCCTTCTTTAACGAACGACCAGATGGATTTACGTCAAGCTGTTTGTCTGTAGATATATTGAAGACCACAATTGATATATGTGAAGTGAGGGTAATGGGTGAGTTGCGTTATAAAAAGTGTTTTAACTTATAGTACATTTAGTAAGATAAAAAAGCATCCTAGGAAGTATTACTGTCGTTTCGGTTTTTTGCGTGTATACTTAATTTCTAAGGGTTACCTTGAACACCGTATAAATAGTATTGCATAAACTGATTTGAAATAATTCAAAAAACAAAAACAAAAAAAAACACTGATTAGACTTTAGATATCGTCTATTATCACTGTAGGTTGTGATCAAAATAGATATCATTTTGGATGTACTGATGCATGCAGTGATAAGTGTAAAAACAGACATTGTGATGCTTTTAACGGATCGTGTATCTATGGCTGTTTTGATCCCAATGCTGTGTCCTTAGATTGTATTGGTAAGTTTTGTTACGAATATGGATTGATTGATTGATTGTATGTTGTTTTACGTCCCATTTGAGAATTTTTCACTCATATAGAGACGTCACTATAAACTAGTGAGGGGTTCAAATTTTGACCTTTACTCAGCATTCAGGGCCTTTGAGCAGTGAGGGATCTTTATCGTGCCAACGCCTGCCGTGACACGGGGCCTCGGTTTTTAAGGTCTCATCCGAAGGACCTGCAACTTTCACTTCAAAGTGCCGAGCGCATGGCGAAGGAACAAATGCTACCCATTTTTACCGACTAAGTTCAGTCGCGGCCGAGATTCGAACTCACGACCTCCCTGTCACGGAACGCGCGCTCTACCGACTGAGCTACCGTGAACAGTAAAGAATATGGAAAGTACAATCTAAGCATTCGACAATATTTTCTCGGAATCAAATATGAAATTTAAATCTTAGTTTTCCGTAAACCTGTAAATATACTGGGGTATGTCCATATTAGAGTTCATGTACCTCGTATATACAACAATTATAAATTAAACTCTGCATGCTTAAAAGAAATACAAGCATCATTAAGGCATGGAAGACAAAACAAAAAGCTCAAACTCAGGGAGAAGAAAATATATGATTCTACATTTGTGAAAAATTTTGATTTATTTGTTTTATTCGCTGGTATGTAAATGCCAGAGGGTTGAGAAAACATGCTAAGATCAACAAAATAAAAAGGACGAATGTGAGTTTAAATGTATGAAACCTTAAGTTCCTTTCTTATATGAAAATATGGAGAATATTTTGAAGAAAAATCACAGAAGAAAAATATTTTTGTTAGTGCATTTAGATAAGATTTTTGCTCTACCTGTTATCCGTATGCTAGAAGTTTTTCCAATTGTTCTAATTCTGCGAATGATCACGTATTCTCCTTTTGGATATCACCTGACACATTGCATAGTGAAGACACTAATTCTTTTGAAATGCATTTTTCATCAGTGTGTGACAACGGGACATATGCTTTAAATGGGAGATGTGTACAATGTGGGCACTGTAAACATGACACACCTTGTGACAAAGGAACTGGACGCTGTTTATCTGGGTGTGAGGAAAACTGGACGGGAGATCTTTGTAAAGGTTTGTATATGTTTTACACTCCTCCTAGGCACATGATCCCATCCCATAAATTTCCAGAAGTCCGTGTTTTATATCCTGTTCACAGACTTGTATTGTTTGTAAGTTTGTTGAGATCGATCATTGCTCGTTATGTTTACCTAAAGTTGAACCTTTTCAGAGCCGCCTTTCAGTTTTAAATGAAAGGTCTTGTTTCTTCCTGTGATTCCTTTTACCTTTTTTAAGTTATCATGTATCATTAGTTTAAAAATCTATACAACCCGAAGTGTTTTCGAAAATGTTATGTTATACTTTAAGACATTACCGCAGGTTTTCTGTTAAATCTTATATTTGTTATCAATAAATACTTAACAAATAATACTGAAAACATTGATATTTTAAAACCAATTAAAATGTCCTCGATGCCAAAGTTTTAGTTACCAAGGTGTATTCAATCCTATTTTGTTTGTTTCAAAAATATGAAATATAAAAAATATCTTATTTTGTGTGAAATAATCTTTCAATGGACAAAAAACTACGAACAATCGACTGATCAATCATGATGTTCACCACGCAACTGAGAATGAATTTATGCAGTATATATTTATGCATTATATAATTGGACTAATTGGACTAATTCAAATTGGACTGATAAAATTTTGTATCTTGTATCTTGAATAATTCATGATAGAAAAATGCTGACAAATTGAACATATACATGCAGTTTTTTTTTAAATTGCAATAGCTCTTTTGTTTCAGAAGAATAACTAATTAATTCTATTTATGAGCAAGCTACAATATAAACACATAATAAGAATTTTCCACTTAGCCACATATATTCTGAAATTAGCTTCTAAATGCTCTAGACTTTGGTCAGAAAGTTCAAAGGAGAAACGCGGCTAGGTTAAGGACGCCCATGAAATATACGCCTTTATATATTCAGGGAAAATGAAAAAAAATTCAATATTTTTTGAACAGCAGTAGTTTTGATAAATGTGAATTGTGGTGATTGCATTTGTATATATCGGGTCTCTGCTGAGTTCGGCCAAAGTGACATCGCTTACATCAGCTGTTTGTCACGTGACAGGTTTAAAATTGGACCATATATGTACTACTACAAAGATCGTAAAAGTTCAACGATATACGGGCATCTTTCCGCTATAAAATTTATTTTGTTTTCTTTCAGACCAATTCCTTAACCCGAAAAGTGCTGGGAGCAACTTCCTCATGCTCGAGAATTGTTTAAAATTTAGCCGTCTTTCTATAAACTCCAAACAAAACTGTAATACGCATTAGAATAATGTTAGATTACGGAACAAATAAACAATGTACAACCAGCTCCCAGCACTTTTCAGAATAGTAGGAATAATAGCTAAATGTGTTTAAAAATTCAGAATTTATAGTGAAGCGGATATGGTTGAACTTTTAATATTTTCGAGTGGCTGGACCCCTCATTCTAGCACGTTACTGTACAAATGTGCTCCCTACGGCTATATCTAAAGTCTACACATTATAAATTTAGTTTAACAATAAAATGTGGATTAATATATTTCAGAATATGTCTCTCTTTTTGTCTGACTACACATGTTTCGTATTTATTTTTATTTTTACAAGCTACGATAAAAGCTTGATCCACGCCTCAAATACAGAGAAACTGCGTGTCAAACTAAGAAATGACGTCATCTCAGTAAGTACAGCGAGATCAAGCTGGCTTTCATTCTGCATAAGCTAAGTGGTATTATGGCAAGATAAGTTGCACATCCATGTATCTTTATAACATTTATGAGAAACAAAAGTATTTAGTGTGTTTTAAAAAGAACATATAGTATATATTTATTCATCGAGATTCATTTGTATTGTTTTTAACGTGATGTCATAATAGCCCTCCCGAACCTCTGCATAGACTGACGTATATATGAGAGTCCTTAACCTAGCTGCGAAATAAGTAAAAAAAAAATCTCATGCAAACTCATTATGTCCTGCGAAGGAGATAATATATTCTGCAAACGTAATATTTCGAACGAAAGGCATATTATGTCAAGCGGATGAGATAATATCTCGTTCAAACAACAAAATATCTCGAGCGAACGAGATTAATTTCTCTCGTGATAATTTAATATGTCGTGCAAATGAAATAATGATCTCGTGCGAATGACAAAATATCTCGTGCGAACGAGATAATAAGTCGTGCGAACGACAAAAACGTTCTGCAAACGACTTTATACCTCCTGCAGAAGACATAATATTTTCCAAAATAGGAAGGAAAAAAATATTTGCATGTCCTGAAAAGAACATCGAAGTTGTAAAATGTGAGACTTCAGGAGTAAGATAAAGTCATGCAAGTTCGTGATTTCCATCGACCAATTTTCAGCCTATCAACAAGTTCTTTATTTTTTCTTCTTTTAGATTTTATGCAAAATTCCTTTGCAAGTAGAATGAAGAAATCTGTACAATGATTTTCAGTTTTTGACACATAACGTCTAACGTAAGCCTTTTCTGCACTTTGAACAACAATTCCCCTAAGTTTTTGTGTATTGTAATTGGTCATTAACAAAATTACTTTGATAAAAAATCAGTCTGATTCTATAAACAAGTACTCTAAAAAAGATATTAAAAGAATGCTGGAGTTCCTCACTAACAACACTTATGCTGTCTTCGGAGACCAAGTCTTCTAAGAAACTGTTGGAATTTCTATATTTTCTAATTGAGTTTTTTATTAGAAGACCTACTTTTAAATTGTTTTAGCAGAATTTATTCAGAAACTTCTATATAAGAAGATTAAAACATATGCTTTATCCGCCACATCCCTTTCATATTTGGACGCTTTACTGACTATATAAGATAAGAGTCAACTCACAACTAAATTGTGTGATAAACAAGAAGACTTGATGTTCTCCATCAAAATCTTTCCTTATTTTTATAGTAATTTACCTCTATCACATGCGCACGTTGTTTACATCTCCGAATTTATTCGATACTGAAGGGCAAGCTGAGTAGATGCTACAGGGATTTCAACAATCTCAACTTCGTAAACTTTTTGGTCGTTATATTGACTTTTTAAGCAAATACAATCTACCACTGGGTTGGGTTGCTGACGTGTTTTATACCAATTGTTAGGCCTTTGATTTAATACTAAATTTAACTATGGAATGATCAGTCTACCTTACTGTGTATCAATACAATGGGCTTAAGGTGGGTGTGACCGGTCAACAGGGGATGCTTGCTCTGATCCAACCTCTTGAATTTCTAGGGTACGTGTTTAGGCCCTGTTCTCAAATTCGTATTGTTTGTAGTTTCTATGAGATCGATCTCTGTTTGTTACTTTCACCTTGTCATTGAGAGAAGGCACCACACTGTCAATTCTTTGAGAGAGACACTTATCCTGGGTCTATTGTACTCGATCAGGATAAGCTCTTTCTCACACAGAATGCATAGTTTTCAGCCTTTCTCCTCAGAAGTAAATCTTTTCATATAGGACACAAATATTATATAGCTAAACATATAAACAGGTCTAGTATGAGGCCGTGTGAGCCAGGATTCAGTCAGTGTGAGCCAGCTCTGGTAAAAAAGAAATTAATTAAAGATGTTCTTTATAATACATGTACTACACAAACTGGCATTTTGAACACGTATATTCCATTGATGTAGAATGTGCTAATGGTTACTATGACCGGAATTGCAGTACTCAGTGTGGAAATTGCCTTGTGGGATTTTGTGATAAGAAAAACGGAAGCTGTTTATCTGGTTGTAAACAGACCTGGAAAGAGCCTTTGTGTCAAGGTATATGATTAGCATTAAAATGAGCAATGTGCAATATTTTTGCATTGATAAAAGTTACCTAGACTTTGTTTTTACAAGTATAAGAACTAAAATAAACATTTATATTAGAAATTATTAAAACGACTGTTTTTAAGAAGTAGTACATCTGTTAAAAATAAATTCTGTCAATTATAGAATGCGCTGAGGGAAACTATGGTCAGAATTGTAGTATCCAGTGCGGACATTGCCTTGAGGGATTTTGTGACAAGAAAAACGGAAGTTGTTTAACTGGTTGCAAACTGAACTGGAAAGAACCTTTATGTCAAGGTAGATGTTACTAGTTATCCAGGTTCAATCAAGGGTTTTCGGGGATTAACCCCGGTTTTTATTCCATATACTAAGAGGCCAAGATCCGATGTATTGATAAAAAGTCGGGATAAATCCCCTTACACCTTTGATTGAAACTGAATAACAAATAAATTTCTTTTGTACAACTTAGAACGTTTCGATCCAACCGTTTCTCTTGAGTCGTTCAGGTCGTGATTCCAGCAGCAGATATTGAATGTTGATAATAATTGAACACCATATGATTGTTATTAACTTTAAGGAAATAACTTGTATCATGATATAATCAGAAGTAATGCATCTGCAATTAAAAAAAAAAACCTGTCAATTCTAGAATGTGCTGACGGTTACTTTGACCAGAATTGCAGTACTCAGTGTCGAAATTGTCTTGAGGGATTTTGTGACAAGAAAAATGGAATCTGTTTATCTGGTTGCAAACTGACCTGGAAAGAACCTTTATGCCAAGGTAAATATCTGAACACAAGAACCAGTAACATTGCATTTCCTATAATAAATAAGTTACCTACTTTATTTCATTGACTTGTATTTAAGTCATTCAGCTAGTCCTTTGCACTTTGGGTTGAAATCTAAAAACAGGACATGCATTTTATTTATTGGTATTGTAACATGTTTCATGAATAAAATACTCTTCCTTTAAATAATTCAGTAATTTAAATTTAACAATAATGTTTTTTTCGGCTAGATCACTTGGACAGCTCACAATATTTCAAAAGAACATTTAATTACATTATTTTAATGTGCAATGAATGCAGATATTGAATAGGTATTGCATGTAATTTCTCGAATTTTAGCTGAAGGTATTTAGTATACAATGTTTTTTGGGATTGGCTTTATACATGACAAACTATTTCTATTGACATTTAATTAATGAAGACATCATTAGTTAGACAGTTATACACATAATTTATTTTATATTGATATTTACATTAACATTTATATTTCCTTTCAGAGTGTGTTGACGGATTTTATGACAAGGACTGTAGCAGAAAATGCGGAAACTGTCTTGAAGGAGTTTGTGACAAGACCAACGGAACTTGTATGAGTGGATGCTCTGCAAACTGGCAGAAACCTTTATGCCAAAGCACGATTTCATTTTTTATGTTTCTAAATGAAGTACCTAACCTCAGAATATATTTTTCATTTAATCATTACAAAATATATATCTAATAAAGATCCTTACCAGTTAAACGAATATATACTTGTTTCATCTTGCACTTTAAAGATGACGTTTACTCAGGGTTTTAGTTGACAGAAATGGAATGCTATAAAGTACAAGATGCTAAATCAAAACTGAGATAATAAAGATATTTATAGTTTGAAGAACTATATTTGTTTAATTCTTTTTTCCGAAAACTGTTCCATTTATGATATATTTCATTATCAAAAGAGTTTCAATACTTGTTATTCTTTGCTAATAAATGAAATAATGGTCACTGTGTAAAAAACATTGAAATATTCTCTGAGAAATACTTAATGGCCACAACCACGAAAAGAAGATCATTGGACAAGTAATTTAAAAATGAACAATACCACAGCAATCCCAGGTCTACAATGTACAATAAATGGTTTTCAGTCTTATCAGCGGAATTTTTTTGTCATCTGGGTAAAAGTCATCCTCAAATAAAAATCATTTAGCCTGAACTTACTTTCATCATTACTTAACTACCAATATAGTTTAATCATAGATGTAAACAGATTCGTGCAAACAAGAAATACTGAGTTATTAGGAAGGATGAACTGCATTATTTAACATCTATATTTTGAGAATGCATTGACAGATTTCTAAGGAACAGTGAAATGTTTATTTGAATTACTTTTATACTTTTAGAATGTATTGACGGGTTTTATGACCAGAATTGCAGCACTAAGTGTGGAGAATGCCAAAGTGAATTTTGTGACAAGGAAAACGGAAGCTGTTTAAATGGTTGTAAAACAAACTGGAAAGAACCTTTATGTCAAGGTAGGGATTTGAAAAAAAGGTACGGTTCTCCTTCTGTTTTTGCTATAAATACACGTAGCACTAAAAATGCTCTAGTAAATAGGAGGAGTTAAAATAAATGGTGTTTTGTTAACGTTTTTTTCAAAGTTTATCACTGACTTTACCATTAATATTAACATATCAATCCACTAATTTGTTTTTGTATCTAAAGTTTATTTTATATCAGAGACATCCCGTGTTTAAAAAGCAGGTTTTAAGCATTTTCATTCAAAACAGTATAATTCAGCTGTTCTAAGGGGAAAAAATGAATGACTGATAATTCAATTTCCAGCTTTTTTGGTTAATTTTAGAATGTAATGACGGATTTTATGACCAGAAATGCAACAGAAGCTGTGGTCATTGTTTTGAAGGATTCTGTGACAAGAACAACGGAAGTTGTTCATCTGGTTGCAAACCGAACTGGAAAAAGCCTTTGTGTCAAGGTAGATGTTTAGCTATATACAATATTTTCGTATTAAAGTTGTCCGTCCTTTGCATTATATATTTCTAGCTATAAGAGCATATATATATATATATATATATATATATATATATATATATATATATATATATATATATATATATATATATATATATATATATATTAGAACTTAAATAAATGAAAACAGAATGCTACAGTCCAAATTAAATAAAATCTTTACTGTTAACGCTTTCAGCCATGTTGGCTCTTCAGACAGTTATGAAAAGTTCAAAACGTTGTCAATAACGTTGCTAATGGCGTCGTAAAAATCTTAGGTATTATGACGTCACAATGAAGTTTGTGGTAGCGGCTACATGAACTTTTTCAACGCAGTTAAAATACAATGTATAATTAAAACATAGAAATAATGTAAAATCTGTGAACACATAATCTATCATTTGCGATTTAGTTTTGGATTAAATAGCCTTATAAAATAGTCCTCTTTGGTAACACGGGCGCTTTCATCCGATGTCCACATTTTGTAGAACGGGAAAATCTTAAATTTTCCTTTACCATACTCAGCAAAATGTTCTGAACATGGGTTGCATCTGACAGTTTCGTCCCTTTTATGTTGTTTGTGAACCCTAACTCGTGCGTTGAGTTGATTTGTCTGCCCTATATAATATTCTCCACAGGTAGGGCATATTGTACAGTAAATCAAATTTGAAGATTTACAATTCATACTCGTATTTGGTTTTAAAATTTTCCCGTTTTTAAGTGTAATCTGTTCGCCCTCCTGAATGAAATCACACGTTCCACATCGGGGGTCACCACACTTTTTAACGACTCTCTGGTTGCTAGAGGAAAATTTCGCTTTGGTTAAAATCCGCCTCAGGTTTGGTGCTTGTCTTCTGCATGAAAAATCTTCTGGACAAATCGTCAATAATCAACACCGTTCTACAAAATGTGGACATCGGATGAAAGCGCCCGTGTTACCAAAGAGGACTATTTTATAAGGCTATTTAATCCAAAACTAAATCGCAAATGATAGATTATGTGTTCACAGATTTTATATTATTTCTATGTTTTAATTATACATTGTATTTCAACTGCGTTGAAAAAGTTCATGTAGCCGCTACCACAAACTTCATTGTGACGTCATAATACCTAAGATTTTTACGACGTCATTAGCAACGTTATTGACAACGTTTTGAACTTTTCATAACTGTCTGAAGAGCCAACATGGCTGAAAGCGCTAACAGTAAAGGTTTTATTTAATTTGGACTGTAGCATTCTGTTTTCATTTATTTATGTATTTTTTACTGTACCAAGAATCTAACTTATCAACGTATATATATATATACATATACATATATATATATATATATATATATATATATATATATATATATATATATATATATATATATATATATATATATCTTTGAAAGATATGGAGATAACGAACAGTATTCAAGCTCAAAAGTCCATTAAACAATACAAAATAGGAGCAGAGCAAACACGGACCTCCAAACATCAGAGGTGGGATCAGGTGCCATGATCAGAAATTAATGACAAATGCTTTGAATGAAAGCATTAATATATCTCCGAAAAAAGTACCTTTCTTTACACGAAATTCTTTTAAAGTATAAAGTAAAACAGACGTGTCTCGCTGAAATACCAACGCTTCGACTTCAAACTTAAAAGAGTAGAATAATCCTCAATAGCTATCATTGTAGCTGTATATACATTTCCAGAATTTGATTGCTGACATCAGTATAAGCATTCAAATATAAGGCCTAGTCAAACTTTCATGAACTACATTCTTAGTCACTGTGTACATACGCGTCACAAGCTCGCTCCGTGATCGGGAGGTCGTGAGTTCGAATCTTGGCCGCGACGGACCTAAGTCGATAAAAAATGAGTAGCAACTGTTCCTTCGCCATGCGCTCGGCACTTTGAAGTGAAAGTTGCGGGTCCTTCGGATGAGACCTTAAAAGCCGAGACCCCGTGTCACGGCAGGCTTTGGCACGATAAAGATCCCTCACTGGTCAATGGCCCTGAGTGCCGAGTAAAGGTCAGAATTTGAATCCCTTCACCGGTATAAGGTGACGTCTCTATATGAGTGAAAATATCTCGAATGGGACGTAAAACGTAACATCATACAATCAATCAATCATACGCTTCACAACGTAGTGATACGGCGGATCGTTAGTGTAGTATTTCTGTTCAAATGTAGATATAGATATAGGTAATGTATCAAAAAATTTAAAAAATCAATAGGAAATGAACTTTTTTGTAAGTGATCAAATCTACTGAGAAGCGTTTTGAAACCAATTGAACTTTTTTTGTACCTTTTATTTATTTCTTAAGTAAGTGAGACTTTGCTTGTTTAAGATTCCTCGGCCTAATTGTATGAATATTAAACATCAGTAAGGTAGAATGTCATTTTCAGCCAGATCTTCTTTTTTTAAGCACATTTGCATCACAGAAGTAAACTTTTAGCAAGTTTACTCTGAATTGTCTCAAAGATGCAACAAACGGGTTTCCTGTATGCTTTTACATTCAATATTTCTGTATATTTTCTTTAAAATAGTTTTGAAATAAGCATTTTAAAACGGTATAAAGCTAAATGAAATCATATAAACTAATTTCCCTGTGTATCCTAATCCCTTAGACTATTTATTTATAACATATATCATTTATTATGAGTGTCTTAAGATGTATCATCCTGTCAACTAACCATTGTTATGTTAAGTACCTTGGCACACTAATGACGGGGTCTATTTTGTGTCTCTTCAGGGTGATAATTATTATCACGACTGCTCCTCAGACATACCCCCTTCCGCACACACGCACAAAAGGGGGGGGGGGGTGTCCTCTAACAGTCTTTATGTTGACTAAGTTCTTCATACGACTTCAGATCTGTAAATTATAAGTGACTGCTATGTTTTTATTTCAAATACTTCATAAAATGAAATCTTCAATGAAACATATGAACAAAATGTCAAGCCTCTCAAGTGTCCTGTTTGTAGCACATTTGTAGCACACATGCTCGTAATAAATGAGACATTTCAAACCTACATGTAATAACATACACTGAATTATGGTATTCATCCAGAAAAGTACTTTACGCTAATTTTCATCAAATCAAGGTCGCTATTGCATTGAATCGGTACATACAATAATGGAGATGACATGAAATGATAAGGGAATTGACGCACCGAGCATGACCATTTCATATCTTCATCCCGCTGCCAAAATTGTGGATTGTTAATAGCTACATATTTTATATTCTTTTTTCTACTTACATATAATTGAGGTATTTACTGTAAATCTAAATAAAACCTCAGTAACAAAATCATAGTGTATTTTACGGCTATTTGATTGCCATAATTAGGACTGCTTTCAGAACAGACCTTGATATTGGGAATACCAGTACTTAAAAGTAAACAGTAAATTTGCCTATTTCTTGAAAATTAGTATTTAGCAAAACGAAGATTTTAAGCTTGATAATAAAGAACCTATGGAACTTACATTGGTGAATAATGACCTTCATTGGCTCATAACCTCTTTGCAACTCGTACCAGTAGTAATCAGCATAAATTCAAAATCCCTTTGAAAATATCAATACGGCTTGGATCAACCCTTTTCATATATATTTCTTTCTATACATTTTGCATTAAATACCATAAATAATACAATTGTTATTTAAGAAATGAATTTAATAGCTACCAAAATTTACCTCTATAATCATGATTGTGCAGCTTACGCTTTATAAACTGCAACACAGTTTATTAAAAATAGCTTAAATTAGATCAACCTAGGTTATACAAGAATAATTAAGGTAAGTTTTATTTCCCTTTGAGTTTAATGTTCTACCGTTAAGTGTATTTTCCATTAGAAAATAGCTTCATATACTATTTTAATTAAAAAAAGGGTAAGAAACGCGTATTGACAGGCTTTTTACGATGTCATTGTGACGTAGGAAAGACAGGTAATACAATATCAACTTTTTCTTATCCAATGAGACAACTCGTTAAAATGGGTATTAAATTGTTTTGAAATGATAAGGTTTTATTCTGATTGTATAAATGCAAGGTATGCCCACGGCGTCTCTGAGGATTATATAAAAAGGAACGTTGATCTTCAAGGAATTCAATGCAATGTCGTCTGTCAGTGACAAAAATGGCCAAAAAATATTTCTTTTAAAGCGGATCTTAACTTTGGAAATAAGTGTAAATAGAATAACATGATTAAGGATATTTTGTGCAAATATTGATTTATTACCTGTAAGTAAAGATATATAAAAGACGGTATGAATGAAAAATATCAAATTGACAAGAATATATAGTTTTCATTGCATGCTTTTCTGATTCAAACCAACATAATCAAACCTTGTCATTGTTACACTATATTTCTTTTTAGGTTTGGGGAGGAATTTCTTACTTTACCATTTATTTCAGAAATTAAGAACTAAACTAACAGATGTTTAATCAAATCCTCAAAGGTTAAAACAACTGGTTTTTTTTTTTTTTTTTTTTTTTTTTTTTTTAATATA